GACAATAGTTAATTAATGGTTATTGGGGGGTATGTGGGGGAAAAATAGGAAGTAAATACCAATGGGTAGAGTTCCTAGGGGGAGTAATGAAGATATTCTGATATCAGAAGATTCTGATGGCTATAAAATCTTATGAATATGTTAAAAACCACTGAATTGGGCTGGGAATGTGGCTCAAGCGGTAGCGCGCTCGCCTGGCATGCGTGCGGCCCGGGTTCGATCCTCAGCACCACATACAAACAAAGATGTTGTATCTGCCGAAAACTGAAAATAAATATTGAAATTCTCTCTCGCTCGCTCGCTCTCGCTCTCTCTCTCTCTCTCTCTCTCTCTCTCAAAAAAAAAAAAAACCCCACTGAATTATGTACCTTGCAAGGCTGAATGTTATAGTATTTAAATTTTATCTCAAATTTTTAACATTTTATCTTCAGTGTAAAAAATTTAAAGCAGGTTGCCTCCAGGAATAAGGGGTAAAAACTAATTTAGAAAGAGCATGAAAGAACTTTCCGGGGTGACAGAAATGTTCACTATCTTGGTAGGGTCCACAGTTACATAGATATATACATATATTAAAATCAAAATCGGCAAATATAGGCAACATTTACTCACATTTACACATAATATGCAAATTTGCACCAAAACTATATATAAATACTGAATTCAGTTTATGACATGTATATGGAAGTTCTTCTTTCTTTTTCTTGGTGAGGGGGTGGGAGCAGTACTGGGGATGGAACGCTAGGCATTGTGAGCATCCAGCCCTATGCTGAGGTATTTGGTAGGACACGTACCAATATGTGCAGTTTACTTTAAAATACAACAAAAAACAAGATGGGTTAATGATATGGTTAGATAACAGTGGTATTGAGTATATAACATGTCTTTGTGTACATACAATACAATATATTATATATGGATATATAATCTTGGTGTTGAAAAAACAGTATACTATAAAGTTCTTTGAAAATGCTGTTTGATTGAAATTTTTCAAAACAGAATATTGGTGAGGAAATTACTGGCAAGTAAATTACTGAACAAGTAAATTACTGGCAAGTCACAAGTACCATGCAGAAACTTAGAATATGGTCATCAGACACGTATCTGGGTGGCAACATCGGGGCATCTTCCCTGGAAGACATGATATTTAAGCCCAGATATGAAGACTACATGAAGTCATCTATGAGAGGATATCAGCATGAGTCTTCCAGGTCTCCTCTATACCCCTCCCCCAGAAGACCTTAATCCTAAGGCTCTGAAAGTTGGTGTGTTCAAGTGAGCCAATGGGACAAGGAGGGAGGTAGCAGAAAACTGGAGACAAAGACAGGCTTGAATCACATGGCATCCATATCAGCAGGGTACTGTGAATTCATCCAAGGGCAATGTTATGTCATTAGCGGGTGCAAAGCAGGGACGGGTGGGACGGGAGGGGATGAGATGTGCCCTGATCATTAAAGTTTTAAAACATTGCATGACGTTCTATGAAGAATGGTGCTAAATAAGGGGTACAAAAACTATTGCCATAGTCCTTGCTATGACAAGGGTAGTATGGAGGAGAGAGGGGGTGACACACACAGCAGGCAGTGACTATGGGGTGTGTGCAGAGAGGATGGCAGCACCTGCACAGGGACTTCCATCCTACAGGACAACAGGGAAAGAGGCGCCCAGGACACATCCCAGGTCCGGGCCTCGAGGAATCGGGTAACACTTACTGGGATGTGGAAATCTTGGGAGACTGGGTTTGTAGGATGTTGGACTTCAGGATAAAAGAAAAAAACATTTTAATTTAAATTGAGCATAATTTGTGATCGTGAGAAACATAGGCAAAAGAAAAGAATCAGAATAAACAAGAAACTGTCAAAAGGCAGGTTTAGACTTACAATTTCTTTTCCTTTCAATAATCAATTTGACTTAATTGTACTAAGGACCTTTGGTCCAGTAAAAAGATTACTTTAATGGAAGTCAAGCTCACTGATTACTGATATCTACCTTTGGGGTTAAAGGTAAACTGGGGATCAATAGCTCTCTATCTCTACACTTAGGGGTCAAAGGAAAAAATCAGGAGTTGAATGTAGGAGGCAAGGTAGTCCACAAAACTAATACACAGAGGGAACATTTTAATTCTTAAGTGTCTATCATCCCACCCATGGGCAGCTGCTGTCTATTTCAGTCCCACACACATAAGTACCTTATGACGTTTTATACTAAACAGTGACTCAAATTTTAGCATCCATCCTGAAATCTCATTAGTTTAGCCAAAGTATAATGAAAAAACCATGGTCTTTGGAATCAAAGAAATCTAAATTTAAACCAGTAGCTTGGTGGCCTTGAGCAAATTAATTACTACTTCTACTCCTTAATTTCCTATAAATGAAAATGAAAATAATTAAACCCAAGAATTAGCATTAAAAATAACATTTCCAGGGGCTGGGTTGTGGCTCAGTGGTAGAGCGCTCACCTAGCACGTGAGAGGCCCTGGGTTCAATCCTCAGCACCACATTAAAAAATAAATAAATAAATAAGTAAGTAAGTAAAACAAAGGTATGTGTCCAACTACAACTAAAAAATAAATATTTTTTTTTTAAAAATAACATTTCCAAAGTACCTGGCACATAGGAAAATGTGCTATAACAAGGCGCCTAATGCTCAGTTTCCAACTTCAGCAGCATAGATTCCTATTTGCAGAAGAGAAGACTCTTATGAGGAGGAACCACACAAAACAGGATGGATTTTTTTTTTTCAGCATGTATCAAAGAAAGAAACAAAAGAAATCTATGAATAGGTCTGATAGATAGGAAATCAGAAACTTACAAATGGACAGGTTGGAAGATTTTATTCAGTTGTTTAGAACAAGGAATGTATTATTTCCTGTGGAATCAATGTTTAGTTCACCTCTTAGATAAACTCAAAATGGCCCATGGCAATAATAATAGTTAAAATGTGATATATCTCAATAAAAGTAACAGGGGGAAACCAAGAGGCTTTAATATGCAATTTGACTTATGTTAGCAACTAGCCCTTGAAGGAAAGGTTTTATGGGGGACTTCTGTGGTGACTCAGAGACGTTCTCAGGGGAATTCCAAACACTTATAGAAACTGATGACCCTGGTTCTTTATCATGTTTTATTTCACCTCAAATTTTATGGCTTCCCTTTCTTTCATTGTAAGCAAAACACTTGCACAGTTAACAACCAAGATTGTGATCATTTATTTCACAAATGAGAAGGGATAATAGAGGCAGAATCAGAAGTAAAAATAGGGAAGCAGAAGAAATCACAAAGGATGTGCCCAAGTATAAAGAAAAGAGACTTACACTGAATTTAGGGGAGCTCAGAAGAAAAAAGACTGAAAAGAAGGTAAAGCACAACATTCAAATGTTGAAGGAAGAAAACAAAGTATTGAGAATCAGAAGCACAGGTTATTAAAAAGGTAGAAGAAAAACATAAAACGCAAGCAAAGCCATCTGCAGTTTGCCATCTGCACCAAGGAAATGCTCACAGGTTAGTGATTCATAATTCTAAGTGTGGCACAGCAATAGAATTCTAGATTTTCCTTCTAATCCTCTATTATTTCCCTAAATTCCTCCAAATATTGTTTTTATGTAGATACTATTATGATAATGTTATTATTCTGTCCTATTAAGTAGGAGATAATAACATACCAATCAGAATGAGAAAGAGGATCTTTAAGTTTAAAAGTATATGCTAGAATAAAACTAAACTACATTAGGAAAGTCTCTTCAAAAGCCAATAGGTATGTTCTGTGAGTTGTAGGCAAATGAGGACTCCCAATGATTTCAAATCACAGACAGCAACTTTTGATTTATCCAGCAGACCTCACTGTCAAGTAATGAGATGCTTTTAGAAAATGTTGACAATTCTGAAAAAATGATTAATGAAGAGATGTTATAGACAGATAAAATAAGATTTCTCTATGGCCTGGTCTCAAATCCAGGGCATTTTTGCAAAACAAATGAACAACAAAACAGAATTAATAATGAGCAAAACAAAAATAATTTAACCAGATCCAACTAGAAACAGGGATACATCAAGCAAAACAACTTTCAAATCACCAAGGCCCAAGCCTGTCCCAACTGCAGGCGCTTACTGAGGGCTGTGAGATCACTTTCAGACCAATGTTTCTACATATCACAACTATACACACTTTGCCAAGTCAAATGCTTTCCACCTGCGGACCTCATTTCTAAATGATCACCTTAATGAGAAAACACGACTATAGAACTGCTAGTGGGGTACAGGAGTTGTAGGAATGCTTAAGCTGCTGTGAGTCCCTACCAGGCCTTATCTCTCTCATCTGTCTACAAATCTCTGTCAAACCAATATGACTGCTGATTTGATTAATAAAAGGTACAATTTTTAATAGCTTTGCTAACCCATGATAACAGTATGCCCTTATACATTTTCTCAGCAGAAACTGAAAATACAATCATGCTCATGAGTAGTAGGAATATATTTGAAACTAAAAAGTACAATAGCCACTGCTGACCTGTCTTCCAGTTTACCTTTTACTCCAATTTAGAATACTCTGTCCTAATTTCCCACATTCTATTTTATCTTTCCTGGCAAGATCATTAAGTCAACATTTAACATCTTAGGGAAAGGCAAAAATTTTGAGAATTTTGTCCAACATATTATGTTCACGTTAATCATATACATTCCTTAACTTTAGAAACTGCATTCAGCTGCTTACATACAAATTTATATTACATCCAATCTTGAGGATTCTTGACAATTCCTTCCTTTAATTAGTGAGTGATTTCATCTTACAAAAGAGCTATAGCTAAGGTCAAATTACTCTTTAAAGTCCAGTTTAATAACAGAATATGATAATTCAACTGATAAATTCTTTCAGAGGGACAAGTAATCAGAAACCTAAAACTATTAAAATATTATTTGCTCTATGGGAATTACTTATTACACGTTTACTCAACCGTATCTGCTCAAAGACATAGAAACCCTACCAAAGTTAATTTAAGAACTTACCAATTTCCCTTGCAATTCTGACAGCTTCATCTGCATCCTGTAAAAGCAGGAAATGAGACTCAACATTAATCCCATGAGGCACTGCGCAATGTCCTTAGGGCAGTCGTATATTGCACTACTGTCTCCTCTGATTCATTTAATGCTCAATTTTACAACCTTCTAACCCTTTTCATTCAGAGAAATGTAAAATTAATACCATAAGTGGAATGTAAATTCTACCTCATCATTATTATATTAAGAAACTCAAAGCAGTTTGAAATGAGCTGGCAGGAAGCACTACCAGAATTGCCAATGACTTGGTGCAGTTGCGGGAATTTAATGGCAGAATTTAGATGTTTACAATCAATACCGAATCATAAATCAGATCATTAAAGCTTGTCTGCAGCCGGCTTGTTTCTGTGTCGGATACTTGGGTGTCATGTTTTCCTGGATTCTGTCAGCAGGGGGAGTTGATTCTCTATTGTTTGGGAGGAGCTTGATCGATTTTCCAGAAGTCAAAAGGTAAATTTCCAGGATCTATAGGACTTACCAATTATTCAAAGAAATCCCTTTAGTGATCTCCTTGACGTTTTCTATTTTATTTCACCTTTTTTTCAGGTACATATTTTATCTTTAAGGTTGCAGTCTGTTACACAAAGCAAAACTTTAAATTCAATCAACTAAACTAGTATGGTTTAAAAAAAAAAAAAAAAACTACAAAAAGCCAAATACAAATGCCTTCCTAAACACCACAAGGGAAGAGTTTATTGATATAAGGATTAGTCACTGCTAAACATCAACCAAGACCACTGTACCTCTCACTAGCTGAAAGGCAACAAGTTTCCTGCATCTATATCACCCATTAACCCCCACCCAACACACCCAACAGGACCCTCCGGACAGGTTCCCATAGAAAGACCGCTAAAATTCTGAACTCCAAGTTTCCTCCTTGGTTTTATTATTTTTTGTAGTTCAGGGACACAAGCTAAAATGACTGAAGTTTTAGAAAACAACTTCAAAATACTGAAGTCTGGTATTTTTAAAGCTAATTTATTTAAAATGTAGAGTGACCATGTCAGAATCCTCCCCCCAAAAGGCAGTGGGGGATGTTTATAACTGGTTCGTTTATGTCTAATAAAAAAAAAAATCTTCCTTGAAAGTCTTCAGTACCTAATAACGTCCCCCGAATAAGGAGGTTGGCAGGGGAAGTTGTCAGAAAAATTTAATTTCCTTTCATTAGCCAGTCTGCTCCACAAATAGGTGCTTGTTAAGTTCAAAGCAGTCCTGAAAGCGACATCAGTTTTAAGTCTTTTTTTTTTTTTACTCCAAGCAGTCACATCTGCTAATGAGATTTCCAAATAACAATTGTTTTCAAGTCAGAGATAAATCTATAACCTCCCACCCCACGCCCCCCAAAATCAAGGTTTACTGCTTTATTACACCTTGCTGTATTCACTGACTTCACATTCTCCAAATTTTAGCTTAAAAGGATAAAAATCCATGAAAAGGGTCATTTAAGAACGTTAGTGGTTTCCACACATTGAGTTGGAAGGTTCTTTGTTCCAGCCAGTGACAGTTATTGGAGAATACTTGCCTTTAATGGCCTCTCTGTCAGGAAGTGTTAAACCTGCCAAATGCGAACAATTAGTGCCTCTCCAACAAAATACAGGAAGAGTGATGGCTGATGAAGACTGGATTATAATAAGCCCAGAAGGAAACTTTTAACATTTCTTTCAGATGCCTAAGAGTATATTTACCAATGATAATCTGAGAGAAATTAAACTGCTATCCAGAAAGTTACCTGTAGAGAACTAATAGGAAATTTTTAAAGGATAATTCATTAGCAATATTTTATCATTTACACACACACACACACACACACACACACAAACACTAGAGATGTGTGTGTGTGTATATAAAAAGAATAATATATAAACACAGAAAAGCTTCTAAAATTTCTTTAACTGCTACCAATCACTTCTGTAAGCTGCCGCAAAAATTATCTTTTAACTGGTATGCTTACATTTTCTTACTGTGAAAATTAAAATCCTACTAAACAAACTTTCAAATAAAATCAAACTGCCTTAAAAATTAACTTTATACTTGTTGCCCATTCATCCCCCCTCCCCAAAAAATTATGTACTAGACATTAGAAAACTTTATTATCAGTTTCAAAAAATAAACTGTCAAGTACACTCAGTTCCCACATGGTCTTTCAGTATGCAGTTTTATTACTGAAATATATAAAACTACTTTTAAAAAGATAAAAAGGCTCATTTGGCTCCAAAGTCAACAGCACTGACACATGACATTGTAAAACCTCCCTATCAGGTTATAGAAAGAAAAAAAAATTAATAAAACTTTGAAACACCTATGAAAAGACCAACAACCATCAGAAAAAAAAAATGTGAAAGTGATTAAATAAGAGGTTCAAATAGAAAGAAATCCATTACGTGGAAGGCTGAGGCAGGAGGATCGAAAGCTTGAAGCCCATCTGGGCAACATAGTGAGACTGCCTCAAAATAGTAAGTAAAAGGGTCTGGGGACATGGCTCTGGCAGAGAACTTGCCAGGCCCTGGGTTCCATCCCCAATACAGCCAAACAGAAAAAAAGAAAGAAAAGGAAAAAAAAATCCACAAGAATACATATGAAATATGTCCAGCCTCAGTCCTAATCATGGAAAGGCTGATTAAAGCAAGGAGATCCCACTTCTCATCTAGATACTGAAGTCGATAATGGCCAGGAGTGACCTGAAGGTGACTCAGGTAGAAGAGCACTTCTCACACTATCAGTGCTGCAGGAAATATAATCTTTTTAAAAATAAACTGTTAGTATCCATCAGTACAAAGACATGTATCTTTGACCCATCAATTTTACTCTTGGGAAATTATCCTATAGATATCCTCATACACATTCATACAGAGACCAACCTATAAAAGAAATGTGTTATTTTCAGTGTGTTATTGTTCTGAAAGGAAAAACTCTGAAAACCAATTTGATAGGCCTTCTGAAGACTAGAACACAAATGGTACATTTATAAGAAACAGAATATTACACGGCCTTTAAAAAGAATGAGGGTGGTCCATATGTTCTTACTCATCCATTTATATACTAGTTCAATAAATGTTTACTCAGCAACAGTGCATGAAATACATTTTCTGCCCTCATGGAGCCTGTCAAAGCCTAATATGGGAAACAGAAACTGGAGTAAAGAAATCAATTGAGAGTCAAAATAAATGTTACACTGCACAAAGAGTTCTAGAAAATAAGAAAAGGAACCTGTTTTTGATAGATTACTCTGAAAAGGCCCTTCTGAAGTAAAATTTGGAACCTGAGGACAAAAACGGCTCACTGCCTTCCGAAGATCAGGAAGAAAGGATCCCGGACAGAAACAACAGGTGAAAAACCCTAATTAGGAAGGAACTTAATATGTTCTAGAAACAGAAAGTCCACAAGGCTGAAGCCGAAATGCACTAAGGAAGGGGGTGGGGCGGTGAGGCACCGAATCCTAAGGCCCAGGCTCCAGTGGCTGGGATGGTGAAGCTTTGGGACCTTAACTCTTAAGTGCTAAATATATGCAAGTCACACCTACCCTAACTTGTTGGGGGAAAGGAAGGGGTGGACTGAATTGTCCCTCCTCCCCCCACATGGAATTGGGTGAAAATTCCTGAGACAACTCATCCCTCCCCCCCCACCACATGCAAATTCCTCCTACTGAGGGGAGGCTGAAGGACCACAGCCCCCACCCCTCACAACAGGTGCCAAAGAAGCTGAGAGCGGACTCAGCCCCCTCAGCAGGCCTGGAATTCAGGATAACCAGTTTGCATATGTGCATTTCCTGCCTTTTGTCTGTCTCAGCCCCAGTCTCTTCCCCCAGGCCTCCCATCCCTTAAAAACCCTGCTCACCTTTAGAGATTGCACTTATTGTTTTATCTATCTTCCTTCAAAGGAGGCTTTGAATAAACCTATTTTCCTCCCAATCTCTGAATATTTCTGGAGCAGTGAGCTGAAGTCCAGCCCCTTCCTGGTCTTTGTGTGGAAGAAGGGCCACGTTCTGACCCAGGAGGGAACAGGAAAGGCACCATCTAGCCATCCAGTAACTTACAAGCTAATGGAAAAAACAGATCTTAAATGTGATTACATAGAAGCTAAGAAATGTCACTTGTCACCCATGTTACATACAAGTGGTAAGGAGGACCCGTGACAACACAGCATCTCTAACTCAAAAACAGATTCCTAGAAATCTTCTCAGGCAGAGTGACTTTTTAAAAAGGCCTGACAGGGGCTGGGGTTGTAGCTCAGTGGTAGAGCACTTGTCTTCCATGCGTGAAGTACTGGGTTCCATCCTCAGCACCACATAAAAATAAAATAAATAAATGTATTGTGTCCATCTATAACTAAAAAATTTAAAAAAAAAAAAAAAAAAAAAAAAAGGACCTGACAAATAAAAGCATGGTGGAAAACAGTGGCTGGAGCCTCAAGGAGCCACACTGAAAGACAGAGCTTCAGTCCAAGGGCGGAATGCAAGGCCTCACTCTGACTGCATTTAGAAGAAGTGTGGCATGAACTTTACCTATTTATCGTGTGTATATCCTTGAATCTCCATCTCCCTTCTCCTGTCTAGTTGGTTCCTTGAGTATCTCAAATGCCTGGAGCAGTGCACAAAACAGCTATTCAACAGACAGCTGTTGCATGAAGGAATGAAGGTGGGGGGACACAAGAGCACTGGAAGGCGACACTGGGAGAAGAGCAGGGTCCTAAGAGAGTGGGGTAGCAGCAGTTTGGGTGAAAGAAAAACCAGCATCTTCTCTAGAATTCGTCTGTGGCATGCTTCTGTTTTCACCTAAATGCTACTCTCTCTGGGATGCCTTTCCAGGCCTCCCATCCAACATTATTTGTTCAATGAATAAACAACTCTCATCAGCTTCCTTAAAAATAAATCTGCTGGTGTTAGAAGAAAATGTAGGGTCAATGCTCCAACATTGACGCAGCCACCGACTTCCTTAGCAAGACCACTAAAGCTCAAGAAATAAAACCAAGAATCAATAAATGGGACAG